AGGTCATTTTTCATACCTGTCCAGTAAGCCTGCTGCCTAAACAAATCGTAAGTCCTGGCGTATCCGTGACAAAAGATCACCAACTGTTGTGGTTTCCACTGACTTTACGAATAGTTTGCCAGAAAACTGTTGTGCCGCCTCCAACCGGTTCAACCCGAAACAAAATGAGAACGCAGAGATCTGCCGGACTGACGGATTCGTATTATAGGAGAGCCTAGAGCAATAAATAGGTTGAAGACAACTACTAACACAATGATATTGGAGATGCTAATTAATGCTAATTAGCACAACTCACACGGTTCAAGTACAGAGTTCAGCTTGCCGCTGACCCACATTGATTCCCGTTTCCATCTCTACTTGAGTTCGAGTGTGAAATGCTGTTTTTCCATACAAGTTACAAGATTTGGCCTGAATCAGTGATGCCGACTCGACTTGATTCTCAGACAGCCCAATTTTCCTCGGAGCAGGCCGTTCGAGACCTAACACCAACTTTCGCCACAACTTCGGTGAGATTACCGCGACCGAAGTAACGCCACGCCCTTGTGTCCACATCAGAATTCCAGCTTCGTTGACTTGCAGGTTTTCCAGGTTCCACCCGAACGGAATTGTTAGCCTTGACTTTTGGTTGTCGCAGTTTGATTCATTATTCGCGCTGTTATCAGCTTGTTCAGGAGCCTATCCTTTTGTTGCTCAGCTACCAACCTCCCCGGATCTTGCTCCGGCAACAAACCGCTGACACCGAAAGCAATGTCATCGCTCAAGAAGCGCGATAAAAAAACTGCCGCTCCATTGTCCATTCTTGTTATGTAGCTTATCGTGAAGTCGTACACTTTTAAGTGCAGCACGAACCTAGCCAACTTGTCTCTGGGGTATTTGGAAGACCTAAGCTATTCCAAAGTTTGGTGATCTGTATCGAGGTGAAGGCGTTGATCCAGTAAGTACGCCCGCCACTTGTCCAGCGCCCAAGCAATTGCCAAACACTGTCGAATACTTGCGTTCTGATGGCATTAAAATTATTCTAGCGTATTCAATCGTCCCCTGCTTTTGCTTCAATACTGCACCGAGTCCGACCTCCCTT